ACCATCAAAAACCAGCCGGTCTTCTACAACCTTTAAAAATACCGACTTGGAAATGGGAAGAAATTAGTATGGATTTTGTCACGGGACTACCTTGAACTTCTGCAGGATACGATGCTATATGGGTCATAGTAGATAGATTGACCAAAGTGGCACAATTTATCCCGGTAAAGAAAACATTTTCTCTTGAAAAATTAGCTAAGTTATACATCAAGGAGATAGTTGCTAATTATGGAGTTCCTGTTGACATTACATCTGACCGAGATCCGAGGTTTGTCTCAAGATTTTGGAAAAGTTTGCATAAGGCATTAAGAACAAAGTTAAATTTTAGTACGGCATATCATCCTCAATCCGATGGACAGTCAAAACGAGTTATACAAATATTGGAGGATATGCTGCGAGCAAGTGTGTTAGACTTCAAGGAAAAATGGGATGAATCACTTCCTCTGGTAAAATTCGCATACAATAATAGTTATCAGTCAAGTATTAAAATGGCTCCTTATGAAGCATTATATGGCAAGAGGTGTCGCTCTCCAATCTGCTGGGAAGAAATAGGAGAAAGGAAATATCTAGGCCCAGATTTGGTTCAACAGGCCGAGGAGAAATTACAAATTATTTGTGAGCACCTAAAGGCAGCACAAAGTCGACAAAAGACTCAAGCGGATAAAAAGCGCAGAGAAGTTGAGTTTAAGGCAGGAGACTTTGTCTATCTGAAAGTTTCTCCAAAGAAAGGGACGAGACGTTTTGGCCTACGTGGAAAATTAAGTCCAAGATATGTCGGGCCATTTCAAATCATTAATAAAGTTGGAGCTGTCGCTTACCGTCTGGAATTACCCCCAAATTTATCCGGGATACACAATGTGTTCCATGTATCCACTTTAAAGAAGTGAAGATTTTGGATGTGAAAGATAGGGTAATGAGAAAAAGGACCATACGGTTTGTAAAGTCCAGTGGAGCAACCATACAGAAGAGGAGGCGACATGGGAAAAAGAAGATGATCTACGCACATGTTTTCCGCATCTCCAGTTTACGGGTAATTAAATTTCGAGGATGAAATTTTTATAAGTAGGGGAGGATGTAATGCCCGTGTTTATTAGAAATAATAAGGTTTTGGTATTTGATAATTAACAGAAATTAGCACACGTTAGAGTAATAATTATCAGCGTAATTAGATAAAATCAATCATTGGCAATCATTGGTTAGTACTAACTAAGAGTAGTCAACTAAATTCCTTAATGTGAAAGGATATGCATTAGAGGAATATGGTGGTAGAGCCTTCGGGTAGGAGGGCCACGTGTGGGTGTGGTACAAGATATTTTGCACCTCAAGCTTGCACTTATCTGTAGCATTTAATGCTCTATTGAGTCAGCTAGGCACGTGTTATGTAAAAGTACAAGCAGCTGTAAAATCTAGGGACACCGAGGCTGTTGATATTTTTGAGTTACAGTGATCCAGCTCCACCCCCTACACCCTACCATGCCTATAAATAGAGGAGCAAGAGCACGCTGTAGTACTCATCCCACCATACAAAACAAGTTCACTAGCTAGCTTTGCATGGAGTAGAATCACTGATCGGTAAGAGCCCTCGGAGGAAGCAGCGAGTCAGCGACTCAGACAAGCATGCGTTCCATCTAGCCTTTCTAGCTGTCCTATTCCTTGTTTTGTCTCACTGTTCATGCCATGCTCTATAGCCAGTAGTACTTCTGAAGCTCTATAATGTGCACTGTTCATGTGATTTGATCCCTGTACATCTCTTGAAGCTAGCATGCATACCACAGTGCTACTTTTTGGTTTATGATCACGGTCGAGAAATCCTTGGTATATGCATGTGAGCACATAGATTAATGGCTCATGCATGGATGGTTGTTTCTGTGGAAAGCCTAGAGATATTTATCTTGGTCTTGCATGTATTTCCTTTTGCTAATCCTTGTCTAGTAAATTTTATAAAAATCTGGTGTCACGACAACAAATGTATTGTACCGGTCATAGTTCAGGTATGGGACTGTCTGAGTTCTCTGCTAAGAACGACACTCGTTCGGAAGCGTGTCGATGATGCATCCGTAGGAGCGATCGACACTAGTAAGTCGAGTGGTTGGTTCTTGGGGGAATATAGAGCTCTGCTCTACTAGCGCCTGTGTGGTTCTAGTCGAGACTGTCGACGTCGGAGTACCCCTCTTAAGAGCGTAAAAGTGTGAAATTTCACCCCTGTGACTCCCGGGTTGGGAAGCTTGTAGTCATATGTGATGCCAGTTATTTCCTTTCTTTTTTTAAATTAAATCCATTATCTTTCTCTGCCATCAAACTCTTTCTATACAACTAACCCCTTTGTTTTTGTCACTTTTGCCGTGAGAGGTTCCGTTTTTACCCGTGTGCTTGCTGAGTATGAGATCATACTCATTCTTGCTATTGTTGTTGATTTTGCAGAAGTAGCAAATGATGGATGTGCTGATGAGAATGATGAACAGTAGGAGTAGCTCTACGGGTTGGGAATAAATAAAGAAGTTGCATGTATCATGACCTTTGTAATAGCTAGTAATGAATAAAGTTGGCTCTTGTGCATATTGGAATTTTTTTTGTTTACTAGCCTAACTTGCCTATAAACTTGAGATTTATAAGCATGTGGCGATTGTCACAGCTAAGACCCACTTGAGGCGTGACAATATCCATGATTGATCTTGTTTAAAAGATCTCCTTTTCAGGACCCCAAATATGCAAACAAACCAGAAATAAAAAATTTCATTCAAAAGCTACATGGTTTTAAAATTTCAGGCTCTGACTTAAAATGCATGAGTAAATATGAGAAGGGGAAGAATCAGATAAGGTCATAGGGTGGAGTAACTACAAGTTATAGCCTCATAGATAGTACGGTGGGACACTAGCATGCACGGGACATCCCGTGCATGGTAGAAAAACCATTCTCGAGAGCTCTCTGCGTGTTCAATCCGCGCGCACTCCATAGTCCATACCCAGCCCAATCACCAGTGACGGATGCCTCCGGCGAGACCGCCGAGAAGCGCTCCGGCCCGGCGGACGACTCCGTCGGCGAGGCCGCCCACACGCTTTCTGGCAAGAAGCGCTCCCGCCCGGCGGACGACTCCGTCGGCGAGGCCGCCCACAAGCTTTCCAGCCCGCCGGAGCATCCGCGCGTGACGCGGCTTCGTCATCGGCGCCTCATCGCGTTCCTCTGGGACCAAGGCTTCCGCGACTCCTACAACGAGTACGGTACGCGCGCCTCTGTTCAAACTTGAAATTTCCTTCCTTCTAATCTAAGCGCAATGAAAAGCAGTTCAAAATTCAAATCAAGAACATATCAATGGCTCCCCAGCTAGCTTCTTTCCTAACGCTCGCTTGGCTCCATCCAATTCAGGTTGACGAACAAGACGCGCGCGCACATGAGCATGCGGCACCTGGGCGGCCTGGTCCAGCGGGGCCTGTGGCTGGACGCCGTCGAATACCTGGACAGGTACCTGCCGCCGCCCGCCAGTCCCATGAGCTTCCGCGCCCAGGTCCTCCGTCAATTCCTCCTGATGCACCACCGCTTCGCCAGCGCCGTCGACGGCATCGTTGCCAAGGCCGTGCCCAGGAACTACCTCCAACTTGACAACGGCAGGGCCATCAGCCACGCCGATCTGAGGCTCCGCTCCATCTCCTTGTCCACACTCGCCGTCGACGAAGTCAGGTACTACGTACGTACCATGTAATTTCTGCATCCGCGCGCGGCCAAGATAGATTAGATTAACACCTCTGCCTTTCCATTCCATTACAAAAGAAGATAGATTAATTCATTCGTGCGGACTCACTCATAAACGTAAGTACGAACGGGACGCAGGGCCAACATGGACTGGGAGACAGTGCGGCGCAAGGCATCGCTTGCCGTCTCCAGGTTGGCTGGTTCTACTCCAGAGCTGCGAGGCTGCATCGCGCTGCCGGCCACCAGCAACAAGCTGCACCACGTATGTTCAACGAGACTGCAATTAGGGGCGGGAAAAGGGTTGTCAGCCAGTTGTATGTTCACATTTGAAAACAAAATCATATTTTTTTTCATTTACATTTAAAAAAATCACGAATATTTTCTTAAAATTATGAACTTTTTTAAAGGTCATGTTTTTTTCCCAAATTCCTGTTTTATTGTTTTTAAAAAATTAATGAACTTTTTCCAAATTTGTCAACATTTTTTCACGAACATATTTTTGTATTCGATGACTTCTAAATTCGTGAAAACATTCAAATTTCCCACTCCTTTCTAATCCACGGACTTTTAAAATTTGCAAATAATTTTTTATTTCACCAAATAGTTTATAGAAAAAACAGAAAAAAAAGCCACAACATTTCTCGCGAGCTCTACATCGAGATGCCTCATACTTTCGCCAAGGAGATCCACTGTTTTACCAAATTATTCGTGCGTTCATTCATCAAGCCACGTGCAATGGTTCAAACATGTCAAACTACAAGCTGTAGCCCGAAGCCCAGATCCACCCGTGAACAACTTGTTTTTCTGTCTATCTTTTTTTTTTTCCTGTTTTGTGCAACAACAATAGAGCCCACCCAATAACAAAAACAACCAAGACTAAAAAGCCTAGACCCAACTTAGACAAAGCCTTATTTATCTACTGATGTACGATGATGTTATAAGTAGATGTGAGGTATTATCTCACATCTAGATGTGACATAGTGTTATAACAACGGCGATAGTCTAAAACCGCTAAATTGTACAAAGACGACGTTGTTTAGTGAGACCCTGCTAAATGCAGTATAGTCCGCTATTCAAAAACATTGGTATATTACAGAGTATCCCTCTCACCCTGTTTCACTTTACTGCATGAGAGAGCATTTTACATTCTCCGATTTTCACATTTGTATTTACATGTATACCTTGTACAGTATATATCAGACCTTCTACATGCTTCTTTGGTACACTCAATTAGTCTGGCTAATTGAACAACATCGGGCTATCCATTTACCACCGGTCAATTGTTTTATAGTCTCTTCTCTTGCCGTCCACATCATCTCTTCAGCCTGAAAAACTTTGTCATTCTGCCAAAAACACCAGTCTCCTCCTCCCTTGTTAACACGGATGGCTCCTCCACGGGATCCTTGAAGGCGGCCTTGTCGCTGAGCTCCTCGACGGCGTTGACGAGGTTCCCGAGCCGCGCCACGAACTCGATGAGGAGCGACGCGAAGGTGCCCAGAGACAGCGCGCTCGCGCTCTCGTACGTCCTCGCCTCCGCGGCGTCGACCGGCTGGCCCGGGTGGAACGGCGGCACCCGGTGGTGCCAGGACCCCTGGGGCTTGAGCGCCAGGCCGTCCGCCAGCGACATGGCCGCCCACGACGCCGCCGAGTCGAACCGGGCGAGCGACGTGCTCGACTCCGACTTGTGCACGTTGCCGAGGGCCGCGGCCCGGGCGACGGTCGTGGTGGACTCCGACTTGTGCAGTGGAGGGATGCTGACGCTGGTGGTCCGGGCGAGGGTCGTGTTCGACTCCGACTTGTGCAGTGGAGGGATGCTGACGCCGGCGGCCCGGGCGAGGGTCGTGTTCGACTCCGACTTATGCAGTGGAGGGACGCTGACGCTGGCGGTCCGGGCGAGGGTCGTGCTCGACTCCGACTTGTGCAGTGGAGGGATGCTGACGCTGGCGGCCCGGGCGAGGGTCGTGTTCGACTCCGACTTGTGCAGTGGAGGGACGTTGACGCCGGCGGCCCGGGCGACAGTCGTGTTCGACTCCGACTTGTGCATTGGAGGGATGTTGATGACGACGGCCTGCTCCGGCGGCGGCGGTGGCGCCTCATTTTCCCTGGAGGCTCCGGCTCCTGCCTCGTGCCGGCTGCAGGTGGTGGTGGAGGCGGCGGTGTCCTCCCTCTCCCCCCAACGATCCGTGTTGACGAGGAGGTAGGACCGCTGGTCGATCTTCTTCTGCAACTCCTCAGCGGCGTGGAGGACCTCGGAGAGGATGTTGGGCGAGCTCAGCCTGGTCATGGTCTTCACCCGGTGCCCGAGCTCCCGCAGCACCTTGGCCGCCTCATCGCCCACCCTGTGGAGCTCGGCGCTGAACACCTGCCTGTTCTCCGGCGCCGACTGGATCTCCGACAGTATGCACCCGTGCAGCGCCATGACGGCGAAGGAGCAGTGCCTCAGCGCGCCGCCAACCTTGGTGTAGCTCTGCCAGGGGTACTTCATCATCTTGTATGGTCCGTGCGGTGGCTCCCATATGGCAAACCCCAGCTGCCAACACAGTATCACAAGTCACAACCATGTTAGAAACACGCACCAAAAACCTAGATTGAATGAAGCTTGAGCAAGAAGAAGACAGACCAGTGCTTCCTCTTGTGTCTGTGCCTCGACAGCCGCCCTGTACCCACTGTACAGAGGATCATCGGAAGCTTGGTACGTGAGAATCTTGGAAGGAACCCTTTGGTACTCCATGCATGTCAGGTATCCATCGACGCACCCTGCAACAACCAGCAACCAAAGCGGTTTTCGAGATCTTAGAAGCAGACCAGGTGGTGCAGAAGCAGTTGCCCACCAGCACCAGGTGGTCAATGCTCATACCTTCTAAGGATTCAGCGACTCTGGCGAAGTTCCTGGCCACCAGGTGGTGCAGGTCCTCTCCCGCCCAGATCGGGTATATGCCTATGTTCACCGCCAGGCTGACGGCGGCGCCGATGACGATGAGCAAGAACCTGCTCAGGGCCGTGCCGCCGACGAACTCCCCCGTGTTGTACCCGGACACCGTCACGTAGCAGAAGGTGAGCAGGAAGACGCGGAGCCCGTACTCGTACAGCTTCATCTTGGGGTGCACCTTTATCAAGGTTGTAGCGAATCCTGCAGGCAATCATATTATCATCAGTTATGAGAGATACGTTGGAACTTCACTAGTGGTAGGAGTACCAGTGCATGATGATTTGATACTCAAGCTTGTTTTGGTAGGGGGAAATATCAGGTGGTACTACCACACACATGCTCCCAGTTGAAGATGTCAAATTTAGATGTCCCATGTGTCTACAACCTTAAAAATTCAGAACCAAATTCGAAAAACACATGGAGAGATAAAAAGGACAAATCCAGTTGTGAATAGTGTGGTTTTGACACTATTCATCCTTTTGTCTGTATTTTATTGACACTATTCATGTTGGATTTCTGTTTCGAAAAAAATATTCATGTTGGATTTTTTGTCCTTTTGTTTTTCTTTGTGTATTTCAGTTTTGATCTAAATTTTTTAGGAGTTGTAGACACATGTGTTGTGAACATTCGCAAAAAAAAACCCGAGCATTTTGAAACACGCAAATTTGAAAATTTCAAACTGGGAGTATAGGAGCATTTGAGTGGTGGTATCAGCTGATATTCACCTGGGAGTACTCACCAACGGCGAAGGTGGTGATGATGAGAAACACTATGTCCTGGTCGCCCATGTGCCTAGCCGATTCAGCAACTGCTAGAGCAAGCCCGCCTGCCGTCAGAGTCCCCAATCCCCTGTTAAGGCCTTTGCTCAAGGTTGCACCTGTGTGGAGAAGAAAATAAATAAATCAACCACTGAATATGTGTACATTGTAACGATGAGCACCAGGTAAATATGATCATAGCACATTTCTTTCTTGCCGTTTCATACTGCCTAAAAAAGAAGTTTCTTACTAGCGCTGGATGGCGAGTACCAGGTGGGTACGCGACCGCGTGATGCCATCGAAGATGCAAATGCTACGATGGTTCGAAACATCACCATTACCCTTTTAACATTGCTGACATTGGAAAATAATGGTATTGGCTAGGGGTAAGTCGACTGAAAATTCTATTTGGGTCCGTCGATCTGTTTCAGCCGTTTGATGCAAAACAAATGGTTCAGATTGCTTCTTCAACCTCCAGTTCCCACCTTCTTCTTCTTCCCCAACATCCCAACCACTGAACGTACCACCAGCCGGACCGCTAGCCACCACCGTCTGCAGCCGGCAGTGCTCCCGCACCAACCTTGCCGCCCCACCTTCCCCTAAACCTCCTCCCACGGCCATGCTACCGCCACCCACAACCATCCCTGTAACTCCGACGATGACTAGTTTTTTCTGGCGAACCCGCATCACCCTTAACACCCTTAAGATAGATATAATGGGGTAGCCTGCCATCTTAAAATAGATAGTAGGGTTGTCTACCACCCTAAGATAGACCCAGGGGCTTCTGCAGAGCCAACAACTGCTTCTTCCCTCCGAAATCGAGTGATCCCCAGAATGCGTTTTCAGGCGACTAAGCTAAACTGGAAAATAATACCCTAACTTCACCATCTTAGCGATCGCATTGCATTACCCTAGTACTATTTGCATGCTGGTGCATTGCTGATTTCTTTTGTGTCAAAAGTAAAGCTTTCTACTCCAAGAGAAAATATTGATCAACAAATAGACGAGGAGGCGGTGCATTAGGGCATAGCAAGACAATCGGACGTGTTTAGCTCAAGGGTCGCAGAAAAGAACCTTGATAGATTCATCGCGATCGGAAAGAGGAAAATAAAAGAAGAGACGCTGACCGATGCTGAACTCGAAGACGACGACGACGGTGAGGATGGCCCAGACGGAGTGGCTGACAATGTCGCTGGGCTCGCGGAGGAAGACGAGCAGCGTGATGAGCGCGAGCGCCGTGGCCACCTTGGCCGCGTACACGGGCTTCCTGGGGTCATTGCGCGAGAACGTCCACAGCTCCCTGCCGGCCGCGCACACCGCCCCCGCCGCCCGCCGAAGGGGCCCATCGCCCCGCGCGTCGTAGTGGCCGTCGCTCCAGTAGGACGACAGCAGCGGCTCCGCGAGCCCCCGCTGGTCCAGCGCCGCGCGCAGCGTGCGCTGCTCCGGCGGCAGAAGCGGCTGCGTCGCCATCGTCGGCGAGGAGGCGGCGATCCGTCCTGGCCTCGGCGTGAGGACCCTCCTTGCGACAGCGGCGCGCGCGTACGTAGGACGCCGCGGGAGCCCGGGGCTCCGCCATGGTCGGAGCTATTTATTGCTTTTGTTGTACCGGGTTTCCTTCCTGACTTGTGTGGCTCGGCCGGAGTCCCGCCCTGGACTCTTGGTTGGGTTGGTTTTGCTCCCGCGTGCGCGCAACCGTATGGGTCTCGTCTCTCCGGTTGACTCGCTCGCCACCCGTCCCGTCCCGTCCCGTACCTAACCGGCTAACCGTATGCGTTGGGGCGTGGTGGTAAGCCTGTTCATTAAGGTCATGTACAATGTACAATGGTAGCATATAGATATATATGCCTCATTACAAAAAATAATTTGAAGCATATGTGTTGATTTTTTCTTCACAATGCAAGCTATTATTAGTGGACCTCATCAAAGAATAAAAAGTGACTCTTACTACACATGCATCCTTCCTCTTCATTTCAACTTTTTTAACTTTATGCACTGGACTACACTTTTTGTTTCTAAGCATCCGTCTCCTGAAGAGGATCCCGCTTCCTCATCCGAACCTACTTTTTCTGTTATCCGATCCTACATGACATGTGAGGCATCACCCTGAGGCTATGCATTGGCCATGCCCCAACCCGACCCGGAGGCCCGAACCTGAAACCCGACATTCGGGCCGGGCTTGAGCTCCAATTTCTCGCCCGAAGCCTGGCCCAAAAGTCTGAAATAAGCCCGAAATGACGAGTGGGGTGTTTCGGTGCCCAGGCTCATCTGCACCTGGTTAGAAAAAAATCGTAAAAAATTTATTTTTCTTTAAAAAAAATCTAATTTTTGTGTGTGGGAGAAAATTTGATGCGTGAGACCCGCTCCAAATTTCAAGTCATTTCGACATCTGAGCAGCTCTCAGCAAAAAAGACAAATTGAGTCAAAACAATACATGAACAGTAAACATTTTTACAGACCTCCAATTTATCTTTTTTGCTGAGAGCTTCTCATATATCCAATTGAAATTTGGAGCGGGTCTCACGCAACAAATTGTCTACCACACACACAAAAAAGATTTTTTTGAATTTTTCTAGTATTAGTTTTGAAATTGTTTTTGTCAGCACGGGTGCAGATGAGCTCGGGTGCAAAGATGGATTTTCACGAAATGGCTATATATATTATGTCTATTCGAAATATAGGTATAATATGATGGATTATAGATGGGCTTAGGCCCATATAAAACCATAATCCCTGGTTAATCTCTAAGGCCCATGTGTGTGCACGGCAAGTGGTGGGAAGTATGAGAAGTTTAGTACCATACCGCTACAGTAAGAAGAGTGAGACCTTTTTATAAGGGCTGCTCCATCACTTGTTATTGGGAACTTGGGAATAGGAGTTGTATACACGCGTTCCTCCTCCTCCGTCACCCGCCTCGCCACTACGCGCGCGCCACGGATTGCGGGAATGAGCCGAAGCTTATTTTTGCCGGTCAGTAATGGTTAATTAATCTTGAATTAATTAACTAGCTGTTTACGGAAGTGCCATTGTCCGAGACGTTGGACCGCGGACTCGGTCGCGGGCTTGAACCCAGGCCCATCTACCCGACAGCCTATATAAGAAGGCGCTAGCCAGTGAAGTGAACCCTAACTCAGTTCACTCACTCCCTCTCGCATAAACCTAGCCGTCATCTGTTGTTCCTCTCTCTGTGCTGCTTCCGGCGATCCCATCCCGACGACTGCGTGCACGGTTGGTCAGGAGAGCAGGTGCCTCCGGAACCCTGTCGTTCGAGATCCTACCCGGGAGAACGACAATAAGGTTTTTGAGGAGAGTCTCGACGCGACTGCTGCCGATCCGCCCCAGTCTCCGTCTGCCTCTGCTTCCACTACGTCCCCTGCATCGACTCCATGGCTGGCGACGAAGCCGCCAAGAAGAAGGCCTCGGCCGATGCCGAGGTTGCTGCTGCCGCCGCCGCGTTGGCCTGGCCAACCGGAGGGTATGACTCGTTCATCTCCTATTTGCTCGTTCATGTGCTAGCCGTATATATGTTATTCATAGATGTTTCAGTTCTATGTATTGTACGTGCTCACATGCTTAGGTATTGCTATAAGATGCATACCGTATTTGCCATGTTTACTGCTTACTCATGGATTAGATTAATCAAGAAAGTGCTAATATTTCTAACATAATAAACTAATATAATATCCCGAATATGATTAATTTAATTAAAAACGCCACTGTTCATGTGCTTCAGGCCGGGCTCGGGCATGGAATTTTTTCATCGGGCTTTGCCAAGCCCGGCCCAAACCTGAACCGTCCCAGGGAATGATCAGGTTTACGTGGTGGCATGCAAATGCGTTGTCTCTACAGTCTACGCTCACGTACTGACGTACATCGACGACGAAGCAGCAGGCAGGTGCTTCTCTTTACGTGGCGCGACGCCCGGTGGTGGCGTCTCGCCATGTCGAGACAGGCTGGAGGCGTCGTGCCAAGTTCAAGTACGTTTTCTTCCTGGTCCTATGTTATACCTCAGTGATAAGTGTCGTCATGTCCTTTACAACTAAAATTGTTATTCGAAAAGAG